CTATATTTGTGCATACCCACCAGGTACCTTAGCAAAAACGTCTTAGGAAGAAAAACGTTTTACAAAAATTGTTGTGCAGTGTTATTTTTGCTATATAAATACTAATGGTCTGCATAACTGAGGACGTGTGTCCAATGCCTAAATACAATAGTGGTCATTTATTTAGCAAATTAGCAACATAATTCACTGCAAATTAGGCTGCCTCTCGTTGATTAAATTCTATGTGGCAGGTTAAGAATCCTATGTGCATGTTTTCCTGGCCAGCTACGTGAGACATTATGCAAAGTTCTGAGACAGATTTTCACTCTAAACAGACGCATAGTTAAGTGGTTGGGGTCAGGTTTTATTCTGTGAATTTGCAACTTCAGAGCAGTTGAGGATGGAAGTTAAGACTCATGAAACAACCTTGTAATAAATCTGTCTCACAATTTTTACTTTACCATGCGACAGGATTGATAAATGTCCCTCATTGTGCTGGAAACGTTGCCCCAACTGTCCCTCATTTAGAAGCAATCTGTCTTTCCTCCTCAGTTGTCCCTCTTCTTTGGTTTAAAGTATAGCACTCTATGGAAACCTGGTAGGTGTCCATCTTTCTCATCTCAGTAAGTTGCTTCCTAGGTGCACTGACCATGTCAACCTCTTCATATAACTGCCTGCCTCTTGCTTTATAAAAAGCTGGACATAAACATAATAAAATCTGATTGTACAACCTTCTTTAGTCTGCATTCACAGCTGAGCGACATAAATATGCGCGTTTTCAACACATTTTTGTGCAGCACATTTTTACGTGCGTAAGACACACATACCTCATGTCGCGCATATTTAAAAACAGATTGTGACACATTGAGGTCAATGGGCAAAAATGCTGCTGTGTTTCCATTGAAGTCTATGGGGCCATGAAGCCCAGAATCTGCCAAAAAGAACCTCTGTACTTTCTTCCAGCAATGGGCGGTTTGCTACAGGCGACATGGCGCTCAGATGTGAGCATGACTTTTGAAATAAATGGATGGCTTTTTTTAGCGTTTTTTTTTCACCAGAAAAAGCACTACAAAAGGCTCAGTGTGGTTGAGGGCTTAGATCAAGTAGTGCAAGGGTCTTTCTGATTAGGTACAGATTGGATGGATAGACTAAATAGGGCCTCATGTTACATAGCTTTGGTAAATCTAAAGTTCAGATATTGTATGGCAAGTTGGTTTGGTGAGCCTACAGTCTATCATGCAAAGATTGTATAGTCCGATTATAATGTGTATGGTGACCCTTTAGCTGGCCATACACTGTACAATCTAATTGTACTATCTCCTTTAAAGTTACCATCATGGGCCTACAAGCTACAAGCATGGGCCTGCATGATTGGATTTAAATGGAATTAATTGTTTAGGTAGAGGAGGAGGCAGCAGAGGAGGAACGGGGCGGGCAGGGGAGGAGGAACGGGCGGGCAGCAGAGGAGGAACGGGCGGGCAGCAGAGGAGGAACGGGGCGGGCAGAGGAAGAAGAATGGGGGGGGGAGCCCAGGACACAGAATGCTGCAGCCAGCTCCAGCGGGGAGGAAAACAGAGGAGCAGAGCATCGGCAACTAATCGAAAAGCAACTAATCGATTATGAGAATCGTGGCCAACGATTCTCATTATCGATTATAATCAATTTCATTGATTTAGTTATTGCAGCCCTATGGTACACATGCAACACATAATACGCACATGTTACACATACAACACATAATACGCAGACAGCACACATACAACACATAGTATGCACACAGCACACATACAATACATAATATGCACACGTTACACATACTCGTATAACACAATACACACCCAGCACACATAGCACACATACAGCACATAGTACACACAGCACACAAACAGCACATAGTACACACTACTTACAATTGTTGTACATCTCTATTCAGCCCATCCACAGTCCACTATGAGCAGCCCATGGAGGATGAGAGGAGGCTGAGACATGGGGGAGGCTTTGGGTCCCAAATGGGAACAGTCCCTGCTTCGGGGACTCCGGGTGATGCCTGAACGGCCCTATTCATCCCAGTGTGGAGATCAACCAGGGTAGCCGGAGAGGAGGCCGCGGGTCCTCAGGCAGTGCCCGAACAGTCAATAAGAGTTCACAAACATGCGAGTGAGGTGGGGAGAGGGAAGGAGTGAGGGTGCCCGCAGCCCAACTATCAATTATTATCGACTTTATTGATTCATTGTTTCAGCCCTGCACGCTACCATGCAATGCACCTACAGTGCATTACAGTTACAGGCAGGTTCATTGCGTTGCCATTCATATGAATACCAGCCCAAACACACATCCTGGTCAAAATGCATTCGACCGCACTGCAACACGCAGTAACACAATACTGTGTGTTGTGGTGCGGTTGAAAAAAGTAGTGCATGCACTGCACCACACCGTGGTACTGCACACCCTGGTACTGCGTGTTGCAGTGAGGTTGAATGCATTATGGCAAGGAGATATATTTTGGGGTGTCATTGAAATGAATGGCAACGCAATGCACCTGTCTGTAACTGTAATGCATGGTAGGTGCATTACGCGGTAGCGTGCATTAATAGCACGGACCTGTGCAAATAACTAACTGCATTGGTGTGAACGGCCCTTAGAGTGCCCCTTTATTTTGCTGTCTTTCAGCCAGCCATAACCTAGCACAGGTCGGCAATCGTGGTCCACATAGAACCAATGCACAGTCTGACTCTGGACTGTGGTCTGCCACCAATACGTAGGTGTCATACTGTATGTTCCAAGCACAGAATAATCTATATGTGACTTTAATTTTCGTTTGTGACTATACAAATCTATTGATAAAATCAATCAACACTGGAGCAGTAGCCCTTAGTAACCACTCAGCTTCTCCCTTTCATTTTCAAAGCTTAACTGAAGCTTATTGGTTACTATGGGCAACTGCTCCAGAGTCTGTCTGCTCCCATTTAAATACATTCCCAACGCAGTTAAAAAATGTTGCACTGATATTTCATGTGGTACTTTTATATTTGAATAGGATTTTATTATTTGCTGGGGATAAAGCGCGGAACTTTTGCAAGGTAATACCTGTTTAATAGGCATTGAATAGATTGTTCAGGGAATCCCTAAATTTAAAACTGGCCATACATATTACAATCTGATTGCACAATCTTCTCTATGTATTTTTAGTTTGTACAGAGAATATATAAACAGATCATAAAATGAATTTCTTGGCGTTACTTTACCTGTTGTAAACTGTTGCTTCTGGTTTAAAAAAAGATTAAAAGATATATTCATTCAATTAAATTCACAGACACGCACGTTCAAAGAAAACCTGCTCCTTTGGCACACATTCACCCACCGCGAGCTTTTAAAGGAGAACTATGGGGTCAGTGCTTTTCCCCGTCACCCAAAGCTCAGTATACCACGAGCTACAGCTTGCGGTATAATGAGATGCCGCAGCCGGGACAGATCCCGACAATACTGTCTGGATCCACCCAGCTGCGTGAGTGACAGCTGACTCGGCCTATCTAGAGGCAGAGCCAGCTGTACCCGCCCCGTCCGTTCCGCCAGTCAGCGCTGGAGGATCGGAGCGGGGAGGGGGGAATCCCTGCAGGGAGCCGTGAGTGACAGTCACGGCTCTCTGCAGGCACAGGATCAAGAAGTGATTACTTCCCGATCTATTGAACCGAGGCGTGACAGTTTCTTTGTCACATGTCGGCTCAAACTATGAGGATGAGTGATTTTCACTTGCCACATAGTTCTCCTTTAAAGAAGAACTTTGGGCAGATAAAATCTTTACCCTTGCAGTGGGGCTACCCTCGCATTGCAAAATGCTTGTTTTGTCTGGGGAGCTAAAATAAAGATATACTCACCCGAACCACAATCCCTACTGGCTGTTAGACCAGTCCCTTTAGCCTCGCTCACCCTCTGCTCTGGCAGTCTAAGGTCCTGTGAGTCATCACGCTCTTTACAGTGTATAGGACGTGAGGACGCTGAGGGATATTCCATCGCTGGAATCGAGGAGGAAACAGGCTGAAGGGACCGGTCTAGCAGCCAGCCAGGATTGCAGTTTGGGTGCGCATATCTTTTTTTTTTTTAGTTTCCTAGACTAAATGAGCACTGAGCCCCTGCAGTGCAGGGGTAGCCCCATTGCAAAGGTTAAGGTTTAATTTGTCTGGAGTTCCTCTTTAAAGCTTATTTGCACGTCTTTCACGCAATCACAGGCTAAAGCATTTTAATTTTAAACAATGGAAAGCTAATCAATAGGAGGAGGAGACTGTTTACCACATGACCACATGAAAAACGCACACTACCATTGAAGTCTATGGCTCCAAAGATGTGTGTGTCTGCCCGACAGAAAGTTTGTGCACCGTTTTTGAGCTTCAAGCAATAGGCGACAATGCTCAGACGTAAACAGGCACCATTTACAATAATGGGATTCTTCATGTTGAGCGTTGTTGTGCTTTGGGGAACACAGGACAAATGCTTAGATGTAAACAGGCACTATTGACAAAAATGGGGTTCTTTATGTTGAGTGTTGTCGTGCTTTGGGAAACACACGACAAAATGCTCAGGTGTGAACAGGCACCATTGACAATAATGGTAATCTGCATGTTGAGCTTTGGACACATTTGGGGAAATACGCGGCAACGTGCTCAAGGGTGAAAGGGTGCTCCTAGTAATCAAACCTCCAGATCCAGATGAGGGCTGACCAGGCAGCATCCCCCTCCTTTAAAACTACTGGAATGTCCTGCTGTGGAATCACAGGTACCAACACAGTCTCAATGTATACAGGGTCTTCTAGCTTTACAGTTTAATATGCTAGGTGAATATGTTCAGCCAGGTCAGGTATCTCACCCTTCATTTTTGTTTTGTTACTATTTATATTCCACACGACATTCACCTCCAGCATCACTGTCTTATCCTGCATCCCCGGGTCTCTCCCCCTTCTCCATCCATCACCTGCCAATACCAAGCAAGCTATACGTATATTCTTGCTATTCCCAGATCGTTCTCACCTTTTCCAGGATCCCCGACAGCTGGATCCAGCAGCTCTCCACACTCGATCTCCTTGTCGGGTCCCTCCATAGCCCCCCTGTATCCTCCTTCTATCACTGACAGCTCGGGAGGCTTTGCCTGTGACGTCATGACGTCGTGTTTCATGTCCGCAATCTCCCTATCACAAGGCGGGGATTAAGAGGTGTGATCGACCATGGTGAGTGAGGGCGAGATAAGGACGTTCCCTTGCTGCCCGGGATTTAAAGGGTGTTTGCTAATGCTAAAAGAATCATTCCAGAAGTCTGCCCTATCTCCTTGCTGTGGAACATTGATGGAGATACGATTCTTCCTTCTCATCTTACATACACACATTGCCTTAAAGAACAGTACAGTCATATACATCTAACTATAAGGACCCATTCACACTGAGCGATTCGCAAATCGCGCGTTTGTCGCACGATTTGCATTTTGCGCGATATCGCGCGTTTGTCACGCGATATCGCGCAAATGCTTGCATTGAGCAAGCTAGAATCGCGGCAAAATCCGCTCCAAAAAGGGTCCTGCTGTAGCGACGCACGACCCGCGAGCCCCATTGCCATGCATTTGAGAGCGATATCGCGCGGTAAATAGAGTTCACTCAGTGTGAAGGGGGCCTTAGTGTTGTTTACACATACACTATATTGCCAAAAGTATTGGGACGCCTGCCTTTACACGCACATGAACTTTAATGGCAACCCAGTCTAAGTCCGTAGGGTTCAATATTGAGTTGGCCCACCCGTTGCCGCTAACAGCTTCAGCTTCAACTCTTCTGGGAAGGTGTCCACAAGGTTTAGGAGTGTGTCTAAGGGAATGTTTGACCATTCTTCCAGAAGCGCATTTGTGAGGTCAGGTACTGTGAGGTGATGTTGGACGAGAAGGCCTGGCTTGCAGTCTCCGCTCTAATTCACCACAAAGGTGTTATATGGGGTTGAGGTCAGGGCTCTGTACAGACCAGTCAAGTTCCTCCACCCCAAACTCACTCATCCATGTCTTTATGGACCTTGCATTGTGCACCGGTGCGCAGTCATGTTGGAACAGGATGGGGCCATCCCCAAACTGTTACCACAAAGTTGGGAGCATGAAATTCTCCAAAATGTCTTGGTATGCTGATGCCTTAACAGGGGCGGACTGACCATTCGGTCCGTCGGGCACTGCCCGAGGGCCCGCGGCCTTCAGGGGACCCGTAACCCAGGGCCTAAACTAGTGCCACGGGCGCCGCATAAGGTGGGGTCGCTGCCGGCAGATCCAGCCATCGCATACAGCTCTTGGCCGATCTGCAGCTGCAGGCGGCTGTCTGCTGGGTCCTCACGGCCGAGGCCCAGGGCTGCCCCCTGCAGTGCCTGCAGGCTTTTTTTTATTCTCGGCTCCCTCCACAGTTTTCGGCGGCTGACGGGCCCCCTCATCTCTACGCCGGGAGTGTCGGAAAGACCTCATACTCCTGGCGCAGAGATGAGGGGGCAGGCTGCTCCAGTTTGATAAATTCCCCTCACTGTGTTCTAGTGCAGTGCAATCACAAAAAAATAGTGCATGCCTGATTTTTTGTGATCACACCGCACTGGTACGCAGTGCATTGAGGTACCACATGTTCCAGTGTGGGCGGGAGACATGTCTGCAGTTCCATTGACATGAATGGAGCCACCACGCCCCCTCCCACCCCAGAATGAGCCTTTGTTTATGCGATCCATTACGTTCATCCCATGAGACTGTGCGATGAATGCACTGGATAGTGTGAATGGGCCCTGAGTGATAAACACACCTTCATAAGGTTGTTCTGGACACTGTTCTGCCATACCTGCCTGATAGTTACCCTAACAGTGACTGCGGATGGCGCCGCAAATGTCAGCAATTGTTAGATGTCAGCAATTGCTAGATGTCACCAGCACACCAAAATCCTTCTTAGGATAAGCAAATGTTCATTTATTGAAGTTCCTTGTCATATAAACAACAGTTGTTTATATGACAAGGAACTTCAATAAATGAACATTTGCTTATCCTAAGAAGGATTTTAGTGTGCTGGTGACATCTCTACACAATCTCTAATCGGGCGGCTGCTCACTCCCAATTAGAGCCTCGGGAGGCCCCAGCGGGCGGCCCTCTAACATGCCTGATTAGAGGGCTGTGCCTGCCTGATCTGTGACACAAGAATGTTTATAGAGGTGGGACTTGTGGGAGGGGCTCGTATATGAGCGGAGCACAAGGGGGCCCCATAACCATGTATTGCCCGGGGGCCCCATGTGTTGTCACTCCGCCCCTGTGCCTTAAGAGTTCCCTTCACTGGAACTAAGAGGCCAAGCCTAACCCCTGAAAAACAACCCCACACCATAATCTTCCTTCTACCAAACTTTATACTTGGCACAATGCAGTCAGGCAAGTACCGTTCTCCTGGCAACCGGCAAACCCAGACACGTCCATTGGATTGCCGGACAGAGAAGTGTGATTCGTCACTCCAGAGAACATGTCTCCACTTCTCTAGAGTCCAGTGGCGGCGTGCTTTACACCACTGCATCGGACGCATTGCATTGCACTTGGTGTTGTAAGGCTTGGATGCAGCTGCTCGGCCATGGAAACCCATTCCTTGAAGCTCTCTATGCACCGTTGTTGTGCCAATCTGAAGGCCACATGAAGTTTGGAGATCTGTAGCTATTGACTCTGCAGACAGTTGGCGACTTCTGCGCACTGTGCGCTTCAGCATGCGCTGACCCTGCTCTGTCATTTTACGTGGCCTACCACTTTGTGGCTGAGTTGCTGCTGTTCCCAGTTGCTTCCACTTTGTTATAATACCACTAACAGTTGACCGTGAAATATTTAGTAGCAAGGAAATTTCACAGATTCACGTCTGTACAGCCGCTGGATCGTTTGTACATTGTTGTATATTGTTTTGATAAACATTTGCGCAAAAACCGTGCAACATAAAAAATTGCAACTAGCATTTTTTTTATTCTAAAGGGCCTCTGCTTTCAGAACATATATCATTGTTTGGGAGTTTGAAGCTGATTTATATTTTATCATGTGTGTGCAAATAGTGAGAAAATGCTCCGGACAGCAAGTGGTTAACCAGTTGACATCCGCGGTCTTAAACCCCCTTCCCATCCAGGCCGTTTTTCAGGATTCAACACCGGGTCGGGTCTTTTCTGCCCGTGCGTGCCCGCTAGGGGGCGCGCGCGAGCAGAAAAAAAATGCCGTCTGGAGACGGCAACCCGCCAATGCTGCAGTGCCGTCCGTCCGTTTTTTTTACAACGGGCGGACGGCAAGTGGTTAAAAAAATGTTTTTGCTTTTTTTTACATTTTTTTATATATGTTACTTTATTTTTTATTTGATTTGTTTTACATTGTGATAGCAACTGTATTGCTATCACTTAGGGGGCTAACAATCCCCCAATGTAATAGAAAATATAATGTGACAGGTCCTCTTTATGGAGACGTCGGAGGTCTTTCAGATCCCTAATGTCACCTAGAGACCCCAAAGAAGCTGATGAAGCAGAGATCTGCTTCACCAGCTTCTTCGCCTGGCTCTAAGAGCCGGAGAATGTGCACAGTAACACCAGAAGTGATGTAATGCACATCACTTGCGGGTTCAGTGATCGGAGGGGAGGTCAGCGGCTGGAAGCTGGCTGATCTCCCTCTGATCGATGCGGGGCAGAGGCGTAGCAAGGTCATGGGGCGCCCGGGAGCAAGTCTTTCATTAGCACCCCCCCACAAACCAAACCATACCATATTTCAATGCTCTGGACCCCTACCTAGGTTTTCCCCTCCTGATCCACCACAGAGGTGAGGCTTTAAATCTCCTCATTCTCCAGTGGTGCTGTGTTAATTTAGGAGCCACATCTGGACTCACTTCTATTTTACTGGTGCTTCCTCTTCTAATCTTTCATGGCGGAGAGACTTAAATGAAGTGATTTCAAGCCTCACCTCCGTGGTGGATCAGGAGGGGTGCTGCCAAAAGAGAGCACAGAAGTGGGTCTAAAGACACTGGTCCACCATTGAGGCCTGCCACGCAGCAATACATAATACAGCGACTACCACCAGCTATAGAGGACTACAAATCCCAGAAATATATTATGCAGCAATGCAGAATAATGTGAAGCTACATACTCTGTGTTGCTCCAGGGTGGCGACCTGATGTCTCAGGTGGACTGCAAAAAGTCTAAGGTGGGCTATGCAGAGTCTCTGGTGAGCTGTGGGGGTCTCGTGTGGGCTGTGGAGGTTCTCAGGTGGCCAGTGGGGGCTCTCAGGTGGCCAGTGGGGGGTCTTGGGTGGGCTGCGTGGAGTCTCAGGTGGCCTGTGGGGGTTTCAAGTTGGGCTGTGCGGATTCATCCATCATTATTATTATTCTTAATAATTTTTATTAATTTTAGTCTTTGTTACTTTTTATAATTTATTTTTTCTTTTTACTTTTTTTCACTTAACTTTATTGCTATCACACAGGAGCTTCCAATACAGGAGTTCTAGCGCAGCACTGTGCTGGAACTCCTGTGACAGCTGAGATGGGAAGGCTGCGAATGCAGTTCTCCCTTCTCACGGTTTACACAGAGCAGAGCGGAGAACGGATGTCCTCTGCTCTGTTCCACACTCTCCATCTGTGTTGCGATGCTAATGGATATTTCAGACATCCACAAGTAGCGTCTGCTTGGTTATTGGCAGGGAGCTGGTTTCTCACAATGGGTGGTGCCTTCTAAACAGACCAAACTGGTTTTTGACAATGGTGTGGCTGCCCTGTATTGTTCGTATCACAATGGGATGGTGTTATGGGGAAGCCTTGTGTAAACAATCACACCTAGGTTGGTCAAGACTTAAATCAATCTTGACTACTGATGGCAATTCTTGATGCTTTGCTGCCACCTAGAGGTGGGAAACTGAAATGCATTGTATTTCACATTCATACAAGTTTTAAGGGGCAACACCCACAAGTGGGAGGCCATTTTCTCTGAATAAAAGCCAGCAGCCCAAAGGTTCAGCAGGACTTCAAAGGATTTCACAAGAGGACTGAACTCTAATACAAAGGACTTAGCAGAGACTGGAACTTGAAGCCATTTTCCTGCGAACGCCTAAGTGCCAAGAAGTCCTGCTCATTATGGAGTTTACAGACTCTGCCACTTGAAGCTAAGTACTATTTTAGTGTTTTGTCT